CTAAGGCGAAAACCCCACTTTCATTGAGGATCCTTATAAGGTCGTCTGCTACCAAATTCCAAAGGAGGAGAGAGAGATCCACACCCTGGGGGCAACCTCGAGTAGTTCTTGCCTCGATCGTGTCATTATGGAGTGAGAGCCTGACCTTCCTAATGTGAAGCAAGGATTCAATCCATCTACATATGATACCGTGAAATCCTCTAGCTCTCACCGCATTAAGAATCGCTGGGGTGCCAGTGTTATCAAAGCACCCTGAATATCGAGAAAGGCACCAAGGGCTACTTAACTGCTCTCTAGAGCCTCTCAATCTTGCTTACAAGTTAGTGCAGCGCGGTCTCGCATGATCTTCCTGAGACATACGCATGCTGATTGTTATGAATAGGATTTGTCCTGAGAGCTGTATCCATCATATATCTTGAGACCAATTTTCTATTATCTTAAGGAAGAAAGAAGATAGAGAAATGGGTCTAACTAAATGACTTAGGACCAGTGTAACTATCCCTCCCTGGTTTTGGAATAAATGCAATGCGAGAATTACACCACCCTGAGGGAATGTGTCCTAAGGCTAAGCTGGCTCTGAAAAGTTTACAGAGTGGGTGTATAATAGTGTCTAGACCTTCCTGCAAACAAACAGGTCTTACCTCATCAGGACCCGGCGATTTGAAGGGTCGTAATAGACCAACAGCCCATCATACCTTACTGAAGGTGACTATGCAGCAAGCAGTGCTCCACATAGAATAAGTGGCACGACGGCCCAGATTTGGCCGCTCTGAACTCACCTCCTCCTGCTGCACTTCAGAAACAATACAACCAGGGAAATGAGTTTTTGCCATAACCTTTAGTATTTCAGTAGGTTCAAAAGCCATTACACCATCCGGTCCCTCAACGGCACCAAAAATAACATGCCTGTCTCTAACAAGAACCTTATGTATTCTAGAAGTGTCCTTAATACTTTCTAAATTACCACAACAATTATTCCATGAAAGCCTTTTGGCCTTTCGTACTGCATGGTTATATTCTGTGAGAACAATATGGTATGTATCCCAATTAATTGTTAATTTTCTTAGCTCGCCTGAAGTGGGCCCTAACTCTCCTCCTAAGAGAGGCAAGTTCGGGACCCCACCAGCTAGCCCTATTGCTCTTACCCTTGCGCAAAGGACAATTATCCTCAAAGGATGTAACTATGCACCTAGTTAGACGGTCTGCCGCCTCGTCAAGCGCATCTACTGTATTTGTGAGAGATGTGTTCATATTCAATTGAGGCAATCTTGCCCCGAAAATCAGCTCTGAAGGAGGCCCAGTTGGTTTTACCTGGGCTCCTGAACAAGCGAGCTTTGCCACAAAAATCCCCAAACTTGAAGACAATGTGCTTATGATCAGACAGGGATGGCTCAATGGACACTGACCAGTCAATAATCCTGTCAGCCATACCCGCTGAACACAGGGTAAGATCAATTACTGATTGACCTATCCTGCTTAAAAAAGTTGGTTCTGAGCCTACGTTTGCAACAAGTAGGCCCCAAGAAGCTAGGTACTCTAGAAGTGACCTACCTCGGTTGTTGGTGTCCCTGCATCCCTAGGCCGTATTATGGGCATTGGAGTCGCAGCCTATCACGAGTTCAGCTCCAGACTCCTGTGCGAGGTCGACCATTCTTCTAACCTCGGCCGATGGGAACCATCCATCGTCGCCCTGTGGCATGTAAACAGAGGCCAGCAGCAGTTTTGTGTTAGATTTAGCACATACAGTCTTAATTACTGTTATGTCCCTCGAACAAAGCTTTAGAACTGGATTACATTTTAGCCCCTCTTCAACCCAAATGCAAGTTCTAGGGTGTGGTACAGGCGCGGAAATGATGCTACCCTTAATAGTGCCCATCCCCGCAATTCTAAAGTTATTGACCCAGGGTTCCTGAATCAAGGCAAAATCTAAGGACTGCTTAACCGTGCTCAGACAGAACACAGCCGTAGCAGCCTTACTGTGTTGTAGGTTCACTTGAAGGACCTGGGTCATCAGAGGGAGCACCAGAGATGACTCTGAGCTGCAGTTTCCCCAGGCCCAGGTAGATAATCCAGCCACAATCTTTCAGAACCTGCGCATTCATTTCATCAATAGCAGGAACAAGAAACTGATGATCATCCTTCCTCCTCCCACCAATGACGCGCCAGTCTTTTGTCGTGACACCAGGATTTTGCCGCTCAATCTGAACAAACACTTTAGAGGCTTCGACCTTGGCCAGACGCCTGTCAGTGCGGAGGAGCACTTTAGTCGTGCGCAACAGATCCTTGTAATCTGCTACAATGACCTCCATACTCCCCTCACCTCCCAGCGCTAGCTTCTTTCATGATTTGATTTAATATAAACGGCTAGGCCTATTTTAAAAATGTATTTCAAGCTAAAACAGTCATAATTCCTATTCTTTAAAACACACTATTTAACAGATTCTTTTTTGATTTTAGTTTTAACATGATTTATCTTGCTTTTTTCAGAAGTTCCAGAATATTATTTATTGTATAATTTGATGTGCCTCCATAAAGCCACAGACAACATAAAATAAATATGTGTGATGTAATTAGGGGCTAAGGAATAATATAGGCTACTAATTTTAAGGTTTTTAAATTACTAAGTTTTCAATCTTAACCCTTTTGATGCTAGAATTTTCTTTGTCATTTTTGTGAAAAATGCTAGAGCTATTTACTTATTTTGTCTGAAAAGTGCTAGGCTTACCACCGGGGGTAAAGTGTAGTGTGCAAGAAAAATATCTGTTACAATAAAAATTTTGAACCCAAAAGTTCTAAGAAACGATATAAGTGTGCCTCGATTGTATGAGAAATAGAAAAAAACCATCGCTGTTTTAAAACAACAACCGATACAGTAGACTCCCTCTTATCCGGACTCCTCGGGACCGAGGCCAGTCCGGATAACGGGTTTTCCAGTTAAACCGACGTTCCCAAAAACTCGTTAAAACGGACTGTTTACTGTGATATTCTACTTAAATTTAGGAGAGCATTGTATTGTATTGATCACTGGTCTCAAATCTTTCCCACGAGAACAAACGTTTCAGTACTGCCCACTTCCTGCCGATCTAGTCCAGTTAAACCAATGTGCTGATAAAAATTGTCCGGTTAAAGAAATGTCATTTCCGCCGAGTGTAGTCCGGCTAAACCGATGTCCGGTTAAAAGGTGTGCGGATAAGAGGGAGTCTACTGTATGCCTATTTAAAATAACACAGTCAAAAGTCGCGCCTTCATGATATATTGTCACTTAGCACTATTCGGATGAAACGCGAACAACGATGTATCGTTCCATAGCACTTTTCGGGAAAAAGACGCACAACGATATCTCTAATGCACGTACGCCTGAAGTCACTTTTTTCAAACATTTTTATCATGACTGTCCCAGTAGGATTTATTTATTTTATGCAATCCATGAAATTTCATTTTTTTTTTACTTCATTTAGTAAAATTGTACCCATAAAAATATTAAACTCAGCTGAACTTTTGCCAGTATGAGAAAAATGTATATAGTTAATTTTTATTGGATTCAGTAATAAGTTAATTTAATTTAAATAGAGGTAGCCTATAGAAAACATTTGGAAAGTTCATTAAAAGAATAGACCTCTACATCAGAATTTGAATAAGGCTACCTAATATTTTTATATTGATGTCATTGGCAAATAAACAAACAATATTGGCTCTGCTACCGTTTTTAAAGAAGTATGTTAAATCATGTGAAATGCTAGCAAAGGCTTTTGTTAAGTCCAAGAATTTTCCAACTACTTTCTCGTTTGAATCAATGGAATTAATTATAGATTCACGGAAATAAACTCTTGCATCAACGCAATGACATACCATCCTTCTCTAAAACCATATTGTTATTTATCTATTAAATTATTTTCCTCTAAGAATTTTGAAAGTTGTTTATGCATAACTCGCTCAACAAAAGTTTTTTTGATAATGAGCATAACAATGAGATATACCTGTAACAAAACTCCTTTGGGTTACTTTTAGCGAGTTTCCCTATAGGGAAGTAGCTATTACCGTAGGTCTCATGGTAAGACCTAAGCCCGGGACCGATTTACTTTTTCATTTTGATGTCCCCAGAGGCCAAAAACACCATTCGTTCAAATTGTTATATATCTATATATATATATATATATATATGTGTGTCCATCCGCACGATAACTTGAGTAATTTTTGTCCGATTTTGATAAAATTTGGTTTGAAGGTGTAAGGCGGGATAAACTTGAATGAGTTTGCGAACCAGCATGATCGGACTATGGGAACGGGGGTTTATGGGGGGTTTTATGGGGTAAAAATAGGTTTTTCCCATTTTTGACCCTAAAAACACAAAATTCCACAATTTCTTTTTAAACCATTTTGTAGAGCTTAAAAAAACAAATAATTCAGTATATTGAAGCGTTATTATGCGCCTAATTGTTACGGAGAAAATTCAAAAAAATTGTAATTTTAAAATTCCCATGTTATTCTTATGGAGCATAAGTCAACTGTTGTAGTTTGCTTGTTTATGAACATATTTTGATCAAATTTGGAAAATACATTAATTTCTTACTAAACCACAGTACCTTTTAACATTTTACATAAAAAAAACTTTTTTACCCTCCCTGTGGTAGCAAACCTAAGTACCGTACTCATTAAACTAATTCTGTTTAAATAGGGAATAAATGTGATATTTTTAAGGAGACATTTTAGTTTAAATCCAATCAGGCAAATGGAAATTCGCTAAGTCTGCAGGTTTGCTGCGGCGGGGGTATTTTATAACAAGGTTTAGGCCTAATTTTAGATTTTTTTAATTTTACGGGGGATACTTAGTATACAATTTTACAGTGATATAAAGAGGTCAAATGTAACTGAGATGGTGGGAATATGTTAAATATGCTAGTTAACCAACTCCACATTTCAGATAAGTATAGAATAATTTAAAGCTATTTGTGTTACTGTATTCAATTAATGTTTAAAATGTGTTTTTTATATTGTTGTAGGCTCATCATTTTAGAGAGCAGGATATTGATGGTGAGTTAAGACAATAAATAGTTATGTTACTAAAACATATGCTATTATTATTTCTCGCAATAACTATTTCTTTTTAGCGAATTTCCTATGTATGGAATAAGTTAAGCTATTAAGCTGGGTTTTTTAGGCGCGGAAGCTGAGCAAGGAGACAGGAACGCGGAGAGCGGACTCCTTTTGTCGTAGGTAATTTTAATGTTAGGCCTACTGTTTTCCTAGAAGCGGAGCGGAACGCCATGTTAATCGCTTATCCGCTCTCCTCTCTCCACGCTCCTCTTCCGCGTCTAGGAAAACCCGGCTTTACATTAGGTTTCATGGTAAGACATGGCCCGGGACCGATTTACTTTTTTTGTTTTGAGGTCCTCAGAGGCCACAAACACAATTACCTAGTTTGTATTCATATTGTGTCTGTCCGTTAGCGTGATAATAACTCAATAAAGAATTATCCGATTTAATGACATTTGGTACAAACATGTAAACACCTTTTTTCAAACGAGTTTGTGAACCAGCATGATTAGACTATGAGAACAAGGGTTCATGGGGGGTTTTATGCGGTACAAATAGGGTTTTCCCATTTTTGGCCCTAAAAAATTACATTTTGCAATTTCTCTCTAATTTGTACAGTTTAAGTAAATAAATAATTGAATATCCAGAAGCGTTGTTGTATGATTAACATTTACTAGAAAATTCCAAACAACTTAAAATTTAAAATTCTTATGGAGAGTAAATAAATTGTTGTAGATTGCTTGTTTATGGAAATAGTTTGATTTAACTTTATAACATTTGTTTATTTCATACTAAGCTAACAACGTTTCTTTAAAAAACACACCTTATTACCTTTCCTGTAGCAGCAAACCAACCCTAAGTGGGCCCTACTCATCAAAATTAATCTTATTTAAAGAAGAATAAATCTGGCTATTTTAGGGGAATATTTTTGTGAAAAATCAACCAGGTAAATGGAAACTCTCCAAGTAAAGTTTGCTGCGGAGAAAGTATTCTTGTGCTGGGGTGGAGTTATTTTTATTTTCAAATGGTATAATCTCCAGTAAAATGTGTACAGTAGTTTAAATATAGATTTTTTAATGGATTTTTTTTTTAAATACATTAGCGCAAAATCTGTTTACTGCAGTTTAATTGTTTTACAGTACATATACTTAGTCATTTAATCAGTGGCGGTTCCAAGGGGGGGGCTACAGGGGCTAAAGCCCCCCCCCCTTGGACCCTGGAAAAATAAATTTAAATGTACATTTCGTCCTTAAAACACGCAATGTCATAAAACATATATCAATGTAGTTTTTATTAAACTTAATAAGGGATGGCAGGAGCAGTATTAAGTTCCACATAGATACACTTTGTGGACAATAGCACAACGAATAAAACAATATTACGCTATGGAAAGTTGTACGCATCGTCCAATTTGTACAGCAGTCAGCTGTTGACATGCTAGGGCGCCTGACATGGTTTGAGAGCGCCGAGGAGGACGGGGAAACAGCTGATTTCCTGCAAATTGTCTTCTAGCCACTAACTTTACACAGACATCAATCAGCAATCAGCGGTAGCACCAGTAGCTTATTACCATTGACTATATAAAGACTAAGTGTTAAAGTTTACATAGTCAATGCTATTACTGAATTCGATACTATACATATTGTGACAGATCTATGAAATGGAGAAAAACTTAAGGTTAAAAAACGTGCTTATACTTGCTTGCATGACATAGATAACAGTTGAAATGGAAGGTTTTAGGACAATTTGACACGGTTCTAGCCGTTATAAATGGCTTTATAAAGTCACCAAACAGCTTTTAGGAGATGGCTTCGTAGTCTACGTTAGGCCTATGTTTTGAAATTCATGAATGCAAGTTCGTTATAGTTTAATTTTTAATTGTCTACTTGCTCATGACTAACAAACATAACAGGTGAAATGGGAGGTTTTTGGACAGTTAGACACAGATATAGACGTTAATAATGACTTTAGAAAATCAGTAAACAGCTTTTATGAGGATATGGCCGTAGCCTACAATATGTTTTGAGATTTATGAATGCAATCGTCATAGTGTTAAAAATGTCTACTCATTCATGACAAATAAATGGGGAAATGGGAGGTTTTGCACACAGTTCTAGACGTTAAAACTGGCTGTAGAAAGTCATTCAACGGTTTTTATGAGGGTATGGCCGTAGTCTACAGTTATGTTTTGAAATTCAAGAATGCAATCGTCATAGTTTAATTTTTAAAATGTCTATTTGCTCATGACAAACAACAGGTGAAATGGAAGTTTATGGATAATTGGGCACGGTTTTTAGGTGTTAAAATTGGCTTTAGAAAGTCACCAAACGGCTTTGAAAATTCCAAATTTTTCCGGGGCGGACCCCCCTGGTTTATTGTGGGGTGCTCCACACCCCCCAAGCCCCCCGGTAGCCCCCCCTTGACAAGGTCCTAGAACCGCCACTGCATTTAATCATTTAGTTGTTGTCATTAATTACAGTATTATTTATATAGTTAAACAAAATTATGGATGTAATTGACTCTGAAGTTTTAATTTCACTGGTTGGGTCAAAAGTAATAATTGCAAAAGTTGAGTAATAATGGGTTTTATCATTTTACCCTACCAAAAAAGATTATTTGTTTTATTTAGTACTTGCCGTACCAGTACGCATTGTTTAAATATTTTTGTTTTCAAAATTCAATTAAATAGCCTACTTATGTTTTAATCATACTGTCCGGAAAGCAGCCATTTTTAGTTCTCTAAATCGTCAGCAAAACCCTCTTTTTCAAGTAACTTCAAATAGGGAACAGAAAAAACATATGGTAAATTTTTGGCTTCGCCCACCTCAACATTTGATCAGTGCATTAATGAAAACCCAACTAATTATGCGATATTTAAAGTTATGTTTGTAAACAACAGAAATGTAAACATTGATGAAGACTTGGTATAACCTTAAATTATCTTGTATTATTATTTTTAACGATTACCGGTAGAATGTTATATCCACAGTATGATGAAAATAGTTGTTCATCACACAGAGCAAAAGTGTCTTTTTGGTACTTAATCGAATTTCGAAACTCGGCTGCGCCTTGCTTGTAAAACACGATTGCGCACCAAAAAGAGCCACTTTAACTCATAGTGAAGAAAACTACTATTCCAGTACAAAAATGCAAAAGTGAAGCATTATTATGAAATCCCCATTTCCTCATGTTTCATATTAATTCGAGGAACCCAGTGGAGACGGTCACGTTTTTTTCTTTTTAGCCACCGGTAAAGTAAAGATTCTGCAATTATTTGTTGGCGATCCATAGATATTGTTGTACAGAACTGTCAATGATCTCTGTCTGGTGGAGTTGGGGCGCCGATTTTTTAATCGTCCGATTACCAAAGACGTATTTAACTATCTGCTGCCCCTAGGCAGCGAAGTTAGCCGCTCCCCCCACCACTCGCCAGCGCGCTCCCCGACCTCACTAATACTACTCCAATACATGCCATGTCAGCTGATTTTGCAGAAAAGTAATCAGCAATTGCATCCTGCATCAACAAATCTAATAACATTTTAAGCCCTTTTTTACAGACTTTTTGTTTTTCTGTTTTCATGCAAAACACGATTCTGTTTTGGATACATGGAATGCATCGTTGATGTATCTAATTAGAAAAGTCATAATCGTGTTTTGCGGCACGAGAACCGCACACAAAAATGTCCGTATACAAGGGTTCTTATAGTGCTTTTCATTGACCACTTTTAGTCAGATCACAAATACTTTTATTAAAAAAACTGTTTTTTAAACTAAATTAAAAAAAAAAAATATAGTAAGTAGAATGAAAAAAGTAAGTGGATCAGACTAAAAGTGTTCAATGAAAAGCACTAAAAGCGCTAATATCCATGAAATTGTTTGTAAAACTGATCACCATGTGGAAGTGTAATGCAAGGCCGTTTTTAAATTTGACTTTGCATGACGTAGTCTAACAAAATTACAGTAAAATAATAATATTCAAAGTTAAGTTTATCATCAATTAATTCGTTAATGTATTTGTCATTGTTGACATTAAGCCTGATATTGTAATTATCTTTTATTTATCGGTATAAAACCTTAATCCACGTGGTGTTTATAAAAATCCTTGATATTAACTCGATATTCAAAAGAAAATATAGATATTAACTCAGAAGAAGTGGACTTGGTTTTCACATTGATTTACTCACTCAACTCATATTGTATTTACATTTTTTTTTTAAGTAAACACTAACATTTTAATAATTAGAAACATACCGTATGACTTAATAAATAATTTATGGTAAAGAATAACCATTCTCCGCCCCTTGAGATACCCTGTATCTCAAGATCAGTCCATTGGAATCACAATCCTATAAGCCTATAAATGATATAATCAATGTTTATATCATAACAATATTCTAAGGTTCTAAAGTTTTTAATCATTTTGGATTTTCAGAGTTTAGAGAGTGTTTCTTCTTATTTGCGCGCAGTGGGCAGATCAAAACTCTTGATGAACTGACGGTGATAATGCGGTCATTGGGAATGAGTCCCACAAGCTCAGAACTGAAAGGATATTTGAAGGAAAAGGGTAAGTGTTGTTTGTCAAAAAATACTTGGTAAATGTGCTTCAAACCTTGTTTACAGAGGTTCCTGACCATACAAATATTAGTTACCCATTCACGTTCACTAGTTTGTACAAAAGGAACTATCTATATCAACATTGAATTAATATTTTTTATACTAAAACTTTGATAAAACAATATTTTTTGGGAAACGGAGCAAGTGCCATTCTATTCTTTGTCTATGGGATTATAAACTGTCAAAACCGTCAGATAGGCCCAAGTGCCGTTTGACTCCCCAGAGCATAAAGCTATGGTTCCACAGGATGTGGAATCTCCGCCATGCGGTGCGTAATTTTTCGCAGCGGAAAATTACGCAGCGAAAAATCTAGAGGGGTGGTTCTACAGACTGCGAAAATAACGTTGCGGAGATTCAGTTCTGTCCAAACTAGCGACGAGTATGGATAGAAAGAGAAAAGCCCTTTTGGCTTTGATGCTATATGATGACATTGATGAAGATGTTGTCGATCTTTTATTTTTGTTAGTGTCAAGTCACAGTGATCGAAGTGACATATTAAGGAATCAAGACAGTGAAGGGGCCTATTTTTGCTATTTGTTTAACAAAACTTAAGGGGTTTCAATCACGAGATCCCGTTTAACACTTGATACCCAAACATCTCAAGATAATTGTTCGTCAGGTCTACCATTTTCGCCAGTTTATGTTAAATGTATTATAATAATTTATTTTAACAGTTAGTTTGTTGAAAATCGGTGTTGCGGTTATAGGTGTTACTTTATAATCGTTCATCTATAACTCTTTTTACAGCATAAGACATAATGAAACTGCACGGTCACAATTTGATGGCTCTTCTCCGCTGGCGGAATCCGCACTGCTACTGCTCTCAGACCAGTATGATTTCTCCGCCATGTGGAACCGAAAATTCGGGATGCGGAATCGCAAGTCAGTGGAACCGCACACATGGGAACTCCATTAAACCAGTGTCGTTTTAATTCCGCAGCGGAAAAAATCGCACCGCACGGCGGAGATTCCGCATCCTGTGGAACCATAGCTTAAGAGTGATTCAGGGGAGGGGTATTAGTGTTAGGGGGTGTAGTGGGCAGGATGTAACGGCGACCACGTACAGTTTCATAACTGGGCTACCCTAATATCGATTGAAAATTCATGTCAATTTTATTAGTAACCTTCATTCCATTTTTTCAAAATCAACAAGTTTGGTTAGGTTAGGATAGGTTATAACAGTTTAATTTTATCACTAAAACAAATTTTGCTCATCCCCCCCGCCAAGCCTCAGGTTATAAAATGACCTTTGTCGTAAACTGGTGCATTCAGTTTAAAATCGGCTGAACTAAAGTTCATGAGTTAGGTATGAAGTGAAGAGGGGATGCCCTAGCATTGTGATTGATGGATCTGGTTGCTAAAATTTATGAAAAGGTTCGCGAAAACTGCCAATTTACAATAATGGAGCTTTCGCTTTGTTGTGTGACAATTTCAAGCAACAAATTCCATGAAACTTTAGGGAAAGAAAGTGAAAGCTCTGTTGAAATTGCCACGATGTTTCCGTTGTCACGGCTGGACGCGGACTGAGTTGCCGAGTGCTCATGCACCAAAAAGTACGAGATCGGAACACGCTGCGTCAGAACAAATTGTTCCTTACTTTCTGAATAGCCCTTGCAGCTAAAGACATTCTTACTAATCTATGAGATAGAGAAAAAATAATCGGTGCTCTAGTTTTCCCGTAAAAGAAAGCCTAAATTGGCATTATGGCAATACATACACTATTACAGACAGTAAGAAAAACAGAAATATAGATAGACTTATTGAGTTAAGATTAGGCCTACGCTTTGTTCACTATGAAATCTGAAAATAACCAAATAACTTTTGATTCTACGTAATGTATTTATATAAAACTGCAATTTGATTTATATAAACTTGATTGAGGTAATTTGCTCAAAATTTAATTTTTTTCAGGTGGAAAAATGTCATTTCCAGACTTTTTAAAAGTGATGCACAATCACAGTAGATCAGAGAACCTACCTAAGGAGGTGGTAGATGCCTTCAGAGCTGCAGACACTGGCAAGAAGGGGATGATTCCTGCCACTCAGTTACGCCACATGTTGCTGCACTGGGGCGAGCAACTCAGCACCAAGGAGGGTCAGTAACACCATTATCACCAGTGTTAAAGATGAGTATATATATTGGTTTACATACCTGTTTCTAGTAATTCAATAGTCGCAATTACTGTCACGCAACTAGACTATATGACATCGACAACCTTCTGATGAAGTGATTATTTTGACATCAACTGGACGCCTGAGGATGACTTCTTCATCAAGTCGAAACTAGTTGCATGACAGTAATTGCGACTATTGGATTACTAGAAGCAGGTATTTAAACCAATTTATATATTCAACTTAATCCGGAGGCTAACATCAAAAATGAAAGATGAGTAAGTGGGATTCGGGAAAATGAGCTATATATACAATGAATATATATGTTACAATCAATCTCCGAATTTGGACAATGTCCAAAATTTCTACCCAGGCCGCGATGTGGATAGTGTGAAATACCCACGTCGCGGAGTGAGCATTTTATTTAGGACATTAGCCGAAACGAAATGCTCAGACCGCGTTGTAGGTAAACTGATTTACTCAAACGCCGAAGTTAAAACCTTCTTCGGCGATTGAGCAAATCCAAAATACCCACAACACGATGTGAGAAAAGTGATTGACCACGTTGGGTAGTGGGTATTTCTAGTTTGCGCAAACGCCGACTAGTAGTTTATAAACAACCGTATACCCAAAAATCTACATGAAATGCACAACCACTAGGTAAAATAAATAAAATTTATGTTTGTGATTATAATTATTTAATGTATAAATAGCATTTTTGAAAATACAAGAAAACAGCAAATTACCGAATAGGAACAAATATAAAAAGGTCCATTACACATACATTGAAATTATGTTTTTCCGCTTTACAAAAATAGGAGTAGCCTTAAAACGCCGATTATCACACAGTTCTTGTTACATCTTTCTTTTACTTACTGGCACAAGAGGTGCTGCCATGGCATTTAGAATTGCATTTTACGTTTGACTTAATACATTTACATGATTTACTCAAACAGTTTTTCTTGCAACTACATCTTATAAAACCTTGTTCTTTTTTTAAAAAAAGAGGATGGCGACCTCTTTTAACCTCTGATTTGCCCGTCCACATAGACTACAGATCTGTGCGTGGAACGTATCCAGCAAAGCAAGGGTTGAGCCGGTACAGTACGAAGGTGAACTGTACTGTTAAATTTTAGTGACAGTAACCAGGATTCGAACCCACGACATCGCTGTCTTGGGCCCGAAGTCCACCAACTCAGCCACCGGCTTACCAAACTGTGTGGTTTGGATCCGAATGACATCATCGCTTCTTTCTGTACGTTTACTTGGTCATCGGGTACATCCTCGGTGTAAAAATATTTATGTGGTGCCACCTGGAGTTGGTTTCTCAAGAACTGTTTGTCCAGAACTCCATGTCTTGTGCCAAGAGTGTAGTAATCATTGTTTTTATTTACAACAACTGCCATTACATTTCTGGCGGCTAGTCATCCCCGGTCAAGGTCAGGAATACTCACCAACACGTTGTCTCTGACCGCAACTGGAGTTATTTTTTTTCTGTTTTCTTTAACATTTTTTCTGCCTGGATAGTTAAAGACGTTACACACTTTTCCCGAGTAGTATCAATGGCGACTTTTCTTGAGCAGAGAATGCACAAAGGTAACGGTAAGTCTAACTGCTCTCTATTTACGTCTTCATTATGGATGTTCTGGCCACATTCAAAACGGTTGCTTCCTTTGTCGCAATCATTGTCACATTGTGAAATTATTTCGATTGACGTACATTCTTGTTCTCCATGTTTGTTGTTGTTTACAATCGTTGGCCAGACTTCTGGTGTAGTCACCAATAGGAGTTCCCTTTTTGTTCTCTACTTCAGTCAAACTGCATTCTTGCATAGAGAGCTCATATTCAAGTTCTTCCTCGGTTGTTATTATCTTTACGACTTCTGATGACAAAGGAGAATCTATTAGTCCATTTTTCTGAAGTGCGCTGAACGGAGTTCTCTTAATACCACTGTGGTAACTGTTGTTCTTAGTATTTTGTATGATCTTGAGGCCATTTGCCCAGCCAGAGGTGTTGTTGTCAGCCATCCAAGCAACAAGACTATCCCTGACATCTTGATTGGCTCGTTCGACAGACCAAAACAATATCTCACAAGAGGTAATCACTGAACATATATTAACTTGATCACGTGCGTATCACTACAGGACAGCAACAGTAAAGAAAACACAATGCAGGTGCAGGTCCGTCCATCCTAATCGCAGATAGTGCAAATGGTGGGGGTGTCATGTCTAAACATAAATTCGGCATTTGCACAAACTAGAAATACCCACAACACGACGTGGGCAATCCCTCTTGCTCACATGGTGTTGTGGGTATTTTGGATTTGCTCAATCGCCGAAGAACGTTATGACTTCGGCATTTGGGTAAATCAATTTACCCACAACGCGGTCTGGGCATTTTACTTCGGCCAACGTCTAAATAAAATGCTCACTCCGCGATGTGGGTATTTCACACTATCTACATCGCGGAGTGGGTAGAAATTTCGGACATTGTCCGAATTTGGAAATTGATTGTAACATATACATTTGATGAGTGAACAAATCTATGTATCATGTATAGCGGAGTCGGAGATTAGTTGTCCGATTGTCACTGTGTTACTATGACATTAACTCATTGACTGTGTCTGTTAAGGTCGTAAGAACTCAAAAATCGTTGCACTAATAGCGTTCAAACTTAGCACAAGTATTTATGATACCACTGGGAAGTTGCCATTAAAATTTTAGACGATTCAGCTCAGTAGTAATTATAAAACCAAAAACCCTAAAAATACATTTTAAAATTTGTCCTATAAGAATAACATTAGAAGCTACATTTTTCTTCTTTTTATTTGTTTACATTTTACGACCAACAATTTTGTTTACTTTAGTCAAAGAGAACGACTTTTCCTCTAAACTCTTTCCAATTTTAGTTCTGTCCGGTGCACTTTAGAGGTTGTGTTTTGTTTACAATTTGTATCTTGTTATTTCAGTCATTTAAACCCCCCTTTAACCAAACAAAACGATAAAATCATAAACAATAACTCATCCTCTACTTATATAACCAAATAGTAAAGCACAAAGCATCAAATTACTCTAAAATAATAGAAACAAAATGTCGTTGACACTAGCCACCAGTGTCCCTGGACATGAACTAGTCACAAAAAACATGCTTCAAAATTTACAATGGGATTGGAAGTCTACTTGTGTTGTTTAGTCTATCAGATTATGTACAGTAGTATTTAAACTAACCTTTACATCACAAATATGTATATATTTACTATTAAGCAGCTGTTTACATTGTTAAATTTAATGTTAGTCTATTTTTATACTAAATTCTATAGTAAGGGAGGAAAACAGGTCCACGTCGTGTAAAGTGGTAAAGGTGAGCAGTGTTGAGTGTGGGAACCCGTTGTGGCAGATAAATAAATGTGTCTGTAATACTAAAATGCTATGGGAAGGGAGGGCAACAGGTCCACGTCGTAGGAAGGTTGGTGAAGGAAGTGGTCAAGGCATGCAGTGGGGAGTATGGGAACTGTTTGTGGCAGTTGGATCAATGTATTTGCAATCCTAAAAGGCTATGGGAAGGGAAGGAAACAGGTCCACGTCATATAGAGTGTTGAAGGTAGTGGTAAAGGTGAGCAGTTCTGAGTGTAGAAACAGATTGTGGCAGTTCGATGAATGTATCTGCAATACTAAAATGCTATGGGAAGGGAGGGAAATCGGTCCTTGTCGTAGGAAGTGGTAAAGGCGAGCTGTGCGGGGTGTGGGAAGCTTTTGTGGCAGTTAAATAAATATATCTGTAAAACTAAAATGCTATGGGAAGGAAGGGAAACAGGTCTACTTTGTAGGAAGTTGGTGAAGGAAGCGGTAAAGGTGTGCAGTGGGGATCGTGGAAACAGTTTGTGGCAGTTAGCTTATTGTATCTGCAATATTAAAATGCTATGGGAAGGGAGGGAAACCGCTCCACGTCGTAGGAAGTGGTAAAGACGAGCAGTGCGGAGTGTGGGAACCCTTTGTGGCAGTTAAATAAATATATCTGTAATATTAAAATGCTATGGGAAGGGAGGGAAACGGGTCCAAGTCGTAGGTAGTGGTGAAGGCCAGCAGTGTTGAGTGTGGGAACCCGTTGTGGCAGTTAGATATACATATATTGTACTGTTAATAATTTTTAGGTGACATAATACTATAAGGCACGTCGCATACTGAGTCCGCTCAGTTCAGCTCAGGTCAGTCAGCTCAGTTCTCTCAGTTTTCCCACACACTGCGTCAGTTCGGTCAGCTCAGTTCAGTCGCTGGCGCCAAACGCCACTGGACGACAGACTTGTTCGCATGTAAATTATTTGTGCAGGTTTTCCGTTAGTGTGATTATGAGTTCTAGCCAGGGACATATTTCCGAATAGGCGGACTAGGCGCCCGCCTAGGGCGGCAAATTTTAGGGGCAGCAAAATTTTGAGGGTAAAAAATAAAAAAAAACAAAGTTTTAATCTAAAAAAAATTTTAGCAAATAATTTTGGGAACGGCAAAATAGCCATTTCAAATAATTTGATTAAGTATACAACTATTTCAGAACGCATCCAAGTCAAACAAACGTCAATAGTTTATTACACAGCTGTGTAGAGTTGTCCGTGCTGCCCTATTGGTCTGGCGGACACGCTCGCCACGGGAGCGGTCGCCGTGCCGGCCGCTATGTCTAGTGACAAACGTAGAAAACACTCCCTTCCCTTCCGTTTACTTCATACACCACTACGCAGCGGCAGCACTATAGCTGAAAGATTCTTTTGCTAGGTTAAAATCAAGAAGGAAAGTGTGAACTAAATACTTACCACTGTACCAAACTTAACTAATTTAAAATTGTATATTATTCTTTCAGTAAAAGTACGTAATTTTTCTTTGCGATTCATGTGTTTTTGTAAGAAAAAAATAGTATAAGAAAACATATTTATTTCATTTCAAATCAAAGTCAATAGCACGTCTCTCAAGTGGACCTGACTAATAGTGTTCATTG